ATATATATATGTATATATGTATGTATAAAATATATATATGTATATATGTATGTATAAAATATATATATATATGTATATATGTATGTATAAAATATATATATGTATACATATGTATATACATTTGTATAAAATATCTGTATGTATAAAATATATGCATACATGTATACATATATATGTATGTATTAAAAAAAAAAATATATATATATATATATGTATACATATGTATACATATTTATATATATTTTTTTTCGTAAATGGAAATGCATATTTTTGTTTGCAAAGATTTAATCCTTTGGCATTCTACGTAAACAGCATTGGGGTAAAGTGGTAAAAAAATGATTAGTTTGGGAAATATTTCAAACAACTGTCAAACCACGTACCTTTTTCCATTGACCTACTGACAACGAAGTTATAGTTTGTTAGACTTACTTGACCCAACCTGTGCAGCCTAGTAGTGCATGGGTTCAATTGCAATAGCAAAACTTCTCGATAGGTTCCGGCTATAGAGGTTTTGCACGCCGATGAAACATCCATGGAAAGCTACTGTGTTATTCTCGTTTTAAAAACACGTGCATTATTAACACGTTGACTCTGGTGGGCGATTTTACATTCATTCGGGTTAAAAATAGAAGCCTCGTAATTTTTCACTGCCCGACGTCATTGAATAGAAATTCGTGGCAAATTTAGACGACAATGTTCGCTGCTTTTTTTCGCGAATTTGAAACGCGAAAAGCGTTGAAATATTCATTCCTGATCCCAAATAACAACAAAATAATGGACCGTGAAATGAAAAAGTGTTCCGCGACTAAAAAAGTTTGGTAAAAGCTGCCGTAACTAGTACATGAAAAATAAATAAGAACGCAGACTTTACACATACGCGGATACGATGCAGGTGTACGATTACATATAAATTATATACTTGTGCATGACTTATGGGACATCGCTTAGATACAAGGGATCGATATATTTAAATTATAGAGTGTAATACCTCGTTCTAACATTTCCTTGCAAAGTATACCAAATAATTAACGCTAACGATCTACCTTTAGGGCTACTTGTTAATTAACAAATCGATGTTACAATACGTCATTGCGTTATACGTTATACAAGGTATGCAAATTGTTGTCCAGTTACACTTTCAAGGAAAAAATAAATAAAAATTCCAACAGTAAATATATTTTAATTGAACTTTCATATTTCACGATGAGAACTGTAAAACGAGGAAAAATTCTTTTTCGGTGACCGAACTACGACCTTGATCGAAAACAATTGAAAAATTAATCATTACTAGTGATAGCAATGATAGTAATAACAGTAATTAATCGTTACTGTTACACTGCAGACTTTTATGGATTTAGAAAGAAGTGTTTCCGCAAAATAATAATCTAATTTAGATCAGGATCTGAGTACAAGACAATAACGACGATTCAACAATTTATACTACTAAGTTACTTGTAATCACCTATTACTGCCCTCCAATCTTCTAATGTGTGTAATTTCAAAATTATGTGCCAGCGACAATTATCCCCTCCTCTTGACATACTTGAAGGTCTTTGAAACGGTAAAACTAGAATTCTTACTTCTATTCGGTTCAATATATATATTTTATTAAAGCTAAACCAGTATTTAACGTGGAACTACATTAAATAACTCGTAAAATAATTATATACAATTCATATATTGCATGGTGGAATATACGACCGACAAAAATCAATCGACACCTGACAAACAGGACGCGCGAGAGGATGTTTATATAAACATTCTTCGAACGAACAAACATGTGTGTTAATGAACGGTCTCTTTATTGAACGACTAATCTTGGCCTAGTCCCTGTGAGTGGATTTTTTTATCCAGTCAATTCTTTCAAAGATTTCGCATAGTACGGACGTTACTTCCTCGTGTGATAATATGTAACAAATAGTATTAATATTCAAATTCCACCCCGTCGAATTATTCGCCTTCCATTTAATTACCGATTTCTCCAATATTGCGTATAAGAACCTACTGCAAATGTTTGAAAATGGTCCAAGTTTAGTGTTAATTAAACGAACCAAATGCAAGCGTACGAATACTTTCGCATGGTCGAAATAAAAATGAAAGGATACGTCCAGCAATGCCATCTGGTACGGAGCAGCGCTCGAATGTGCGATCGTGAATCCTTCGATAGTGTTCTCTTCGGCGTCCTTGATTCCGTATACACGAATGATGTCAGCGTTTGACCAAGCCGCTTTGGGCGTCTACGAGCAAAAATACCCTGGGTGTGTATCGCCTCAAAATATTAGTGGGGCTCGGTGTCAATCTCTACCGTGCCGAGATTTTCAGAGAATCCACGTATAAGAGCAACGCCGATCGACGCTGCTAGACGATCTCCGAAGACGCCAGTTATGATAATGGCCGTTACGTAAGGTCAGCGGCTCTCAAACGAGGAATCGCCACGACGTTTCCGTGGAAATTGGTTTTACGATAACATAGGCGGGCGCCTTCCATTGCAAGAAATCCGCTCTGTGTACGCGCAGAAACTATTTTGGTACGACGGACTTTAGAGAACAATAAATCGGACGCGCGCGTGCGCCTGGACGCTCAACAATGGCGCCCGATGTCTTTCGAAACTTTCAAACCGGATCAATTAAAAGATTTCTTAATGTGATTTTACGCCACGTCATCTCTCGGTGCAAACTGGCACTGATTGCCTCACGGAATTCCCTCTCGATGCCGGATGTTCGATGTTTTAGGTGGAAACAAAAGCACAGCGATTCCCAAAAGCGTTCGTACCCTTAATGGGGGGATGCCACGTTAGGAGAGCATGTCAAGTAGGGGTTGGACTGTTTGAATAATTGAATATATGAATAATGACGTCACGAAGTATTGTTTGACAGCTAAATTTACACAGTTACGTTATTAAATAAACAACTTTGTTTTAAAATTTAACTGACTTCAACAGATGAAAACTAAAACGAATCAAATAACTTTTTTAAATTTTCTAATGACAAAATTGTATCCAATAACTGTAAATCTAATACGGCACTTCGATTACATTATGAATGTAATTATTATAGACAGACATTCCTACATTTGTTTTACGCTTTAGTATTGAAGACGTTAAGCATGTAACTGAAGATTCTAGTCGCTTGTTTATCTGGCAATTATGTTGCTCAAGGTAACTGGGGTGTGGCAGCTAAGTGGTTAATATTTTGTTTGACAGCCTTTGGAAATTAAGACTGCTATTAGACGTCTTAGGATGCTTTTAACCAAACTCTGTTGAATCGATATCAATTACTCCTCGAATCTCCTTTCTTCTACTTTCATAGCGATTTTTAAATGTCTTAATTCTCTTTTAATTTCAAACTTTAAACGATGATCGATAATAAGAGTCATAATTTTCTAGAACTAAATTAATTTCTTTTTTCAATCTCAACATTTTTCTTTCAAAATTTTGATAATTAAAAGCAAGAACACTTAATCGTTCGATATCAATATTAAAAAAGTTCTGTAACATATTTGTTTATAGATTCAACTGTAACTATAAAATTGATCAAAATAAAAGAAGTATATAGTGGGACTAAGTGAATAAATACCGAATTTGTATTTACGATTCATCCATATAATATAAATCCTAATCACAGAGTTAATAATAATAACAAATATTGGGATGAAAATATTCTCAGACTCGCAGTCTCAACTATAAAGGAAAGGATTGGAAGACCTCTCCGCGCCTTTTTTTTTTTTAATCAGAAAATAAACAGAGTCTGAAAACACTCGATAGATCAAACTAACGTATATTTGAAAAATAAGCTCCCGAAGAGTGAGAAATCCTGGCAGCGTCGCGCGTAAATCTACTATACAAAGAAAAAGAAGAAAGGCCAAGCAAAAGGAATTAAATTTGTATCTTCTATATTTCTCGCTGCAGGAACAGAACATTGAATTTATTGTTGCAACAGTCTTCGTAGCAAGAAGAATCGATATCACTTCTTGTTTGCCGCTTCGATCGAAACTCGAGAATGTAAAACTTTCTCGGTACACACAATTGTTATATAATTCATGTTTTAAGCTTTACGGAAGATAACCGAGCTAAACTTTATCGCAAAAATCAGGCAAATATCACTCGCGAACATTTTTTCATTTATCTTAGCGAATTTCTTAAATCCTACGATTGATCAGTAACCTCGAGTTATAGATATCAACCCAAAATATCTTTGTAATTGCATTGTTATCGCTACTGGAAATATAAATAAAATAAAGCTGTATGAATAAGGTTATAAAAAAGGTTATAAGGGAATCAAGAACACGATTGGCTCTAAAACGCATACAAAAATATATCATTTTCTTTGCAATTTTAATTAATTTTTCTAAGTAGAAAGTGCCTCGTGTGTGTGTTATATTATATCGAAGAGAACAGTGTTGGTTTGGAACGTTTAATAAAATGCTCGTTTATGCTACGCTTGTTTATATCATTTGTTTCAGTCTGACCAGGTGTGCACGTTATCTGATTGGAAATAAAAATGCTAACACATTCTTGTAGTTTTTTATGGGGATTTTTCTATGATAATTCCTCGAGTCTTCCACTTTTCCATGTACTTGCCGTAATTTTTTTTACTTTTTTGAAGTTTTTTATGGGGATATTATCTGACTGGAAATAAAAATAATAATCTTCTTTCAAGAAGTCCAATTCGCGAAATGGAAACGCAGTATTTGAGCGCGAATGGGAACCTCTAAACCCTGCGTCGCGTTTGGAAAGTCTGAAAGAGGCTGGCGTCGAAAACAAAAGGGGTCAATCCCAATGACAAACGCAAGAAGTAACTGCGCGTTTCCCTAGCCGGTGCGTGAGAAATTTTAACGGTATTTAAATGTGCATTTAGAACGACGGAATGGTATAACGAGTCTATTTATCGAGTTCTTGAAACAAGAAACGGTAAAAAGAAGACCTAGAAGTACAAACAAGTCCTTGGCGTAGAAATCCTTCAGAACTGTTTCATGGTAACGTCGCAATAACACTTATAAGAAGCGAGGGGAAGTCGCAGTATCCAGAACGAAAGTAAGAAGAAATACAATTAGCAGAGTTGAGTTTAAATTTTGAAAATTCAGTATATTGACACTAAACGATTTTTAGAAAGAAATTCCTAAATTATTAAAGAAAATACTTCGCCACGTAACTTCTCATTAACTAACTTATTAATTAATGAAAAGAGATTTTATCAGTTCCATTAAAATTACACGTAGCAGAAACAAAGAGCCGCGGAACAATAAAACGCTGTCTTTTTAATATTATCAATGGAACAATAGGCTTCGTTTACTGCAAAAATAATTCTTGACAAATCCGACCTTTCCTTGTGTAAATCAAATTTATATTCCAAAAATGTAAAAAACCACGTTGTACCCTTCTGCAGTACTCCATAGTTCGCATGAAAGGACCCACCGTACCATATAATACCAAAAAACAAACTTGGCGATATCGCTAATATTTTCGAGAAAATAGTTTGTAACAGTTTACGCGGCTCACCTTGTACATACGGATGAACATGAGAAACGAATAAGAGAAATATTCATTTTCCGTGACGTCTGTAATGTTCTACTTCGATATTTTCAGAGCAATAAGTATGTCGGTTTCCTGGGGCTGGACGTTTCGAAATGACTCACTTTCTTGAAATCCGCGAGGAGCAAACAATTTCCAAATTAATTAAGGAAGTGATTCCCAGCGATTTAGGTGGAAATTAGACGTAAAACAAGATTAACATAGAAGTCGTAGCTCGTAAATCGTCTTCATGGTGATCGGAAACGATATTTTTTGTGGAGTGGTAATAATTTTGTCTGGATGGATGGAATGGAATTTTGTCTATCGATAAAGTATTTTCAAAATATATTGTTATAATTAGACTGCGGATCTTTATGCAAAATAAAATATTCGCGAACGTCCCTATAAATATTGAACCTAAATAGGAATTTATTTTATTCTTCGAATGTTATAACATGAACTTTCAATCTTTTTTATATTCTTGCATATTGTTTGCATTTTGTAGTTTCATGCACATTCAAATTTTCTGTAAATGCATAAAGATTCGCAGTCTAGTTATAATATACTGTGACGTAACAATAATGTTGAATCAGCATTTTTACGCCTTATTTTGGTATGGTGATGAGATACTGTTAATGATCAAATTAAGAGGTCGAATTTTCCAGGAAATCTTTTTATGTATCTGCAAGGTACTTAGGGGCTGTGCAACATAAATTTGAAAAACCATTCAAATAAGGACCACCCTACTACTCACGAGCAACTCTATGGTATTGTTTCTATCGGCTAGAAACATAAACTACTGTGACCATTGCATATATTTATTGCTTATAGAGGTTGTGCATATCATTCGAACTGTAATAATACGTTAACAAACTTGTAGATAAATAACTAATGCTTTCATAAGGTGTTCACAGAACGCAAACAGATATTGCACATTTAAACAGACAAGCAAAATTATGAATATTAATCAGCAGTGTTTAACGCTAATAGCAATCATGTTTTTGACGACTTGATTTGCATACGTTTGCTTGGGAAATTACTAAATGGGCGACGCCTCCGGCGTCAAAGGTGTTTAAGTAATCCTGAACGTTCGTTACACTCATTTCATTTCCCCCCTATTACACCGATGATAAAATGCTAATGCAGATGGAAAACTAACCTCGTTTGTAAAGAATTTAATAACGTGCGACTGGCCGCGTTTTAGACGTTTACACAGAACGAAAGCGTAAAGATTTCAACGAATATTGTTAGGAAGCTCTTAAAATAATTATCAAGTTACTTTTGTCCATTCATGAAATTCCATGTATGTATTCGATTATTTCAACATTTTTATTTTAGTTTGTAAAAAAATAACTTGTTCAACTAGACGCTTTATAGTCTTTAAAATATACAATGTTGAAAAAATAACTAATGTTTACTTGAAGAAATGTAGCTATCAACGATATACACTCGCCATCAAAAAAACTGGGGACACTTCTTCAAAACGTCATAAATACGGGAGTTTTCAACCGATTTTCGTGAAACTTCGTCAGGAGTAGTTTTGAAGTGTCCTCTGGGTGTGTGCAAAGTTGCATTGGCGAGGCTTGATGCGAAGGGGTTAATTCACCCCCGTAAAGGGGGTCCAGCAGGAAAACGGGAATTCTGAAGGGGCCAAAGGTGACGGAAAGGGTTGAAAAAATTAAAAAAACCTTTCAGGCGACTCTCCTTGATGCTCTCTACAGAATGCACCCCCTGAAATTCTTCTCGGACAAACCCACCCCTCGCAACTCCCCCCCCCCCAAATCTACAATTTTTGGACGACAGTCCCGATTTTGGGCTCAATGAATTCCCTGGAATCCCCTGATCCAGGAAATGCCAACGCCCACGCCGTACACCCCATATGCACCCCTTGGGGGGGCGGAATAGCTCGTTACTTTTCAGACAACTATGGTATGGTCGGTAGAACGTTAGCCTTCTACTGCGAATTTTCTTTATGTCGTGGGTTCGATCCCGGATTGAACACAATTTCACAGGATATATTTTTTTCACTCTTTCAATTTATTTTAAATATATATTATATATATATTTATTTGATAAAGTTCCAATATAATGTCCGAATTTCAAAATGACAGTATTTTTGAAAGTTGCTCCTTAAAGGAAGCAAATAGGCTTGTATCTTTTCAAGAACTACAATTTTTGGAGAATAAAATGGTTTTCAAACATCCGTAAAATTCTATACAATTTAAAAAAAATTGTTTTTACGGTCAAGAGTTATTAAAGACTGTGTAGATACTCGAATTTGCTCCAGTTTTGAGATTCTGGTCCATTTGATGTCCGATTTCACGTAGAATGATCCAATATATTATTATTATTTCCTGCACAAAGGTTTCCTTATTTGAAACATTAACTGTATAATAACGCTTCATCGCGTTGACCATGATTGGGGATGCATTCCAACCCCCTCAAAGAACAATCACACCAACCCAGTGAATCTGTATAAATAAGATTCAGGGGATTTGATGGAGTTCTTTATGATATAATTCATCAGAAAAACAATGCCGTAAACCACAATTTTCTATCACGTTTAGTTTATAAATGATACGTTGTTTATATAAACGTGATATTATCAAACTTTGAATAGACGCAACTTCTAAACGTCACAGAAAGAGTGATCGTGCCTAATGATATTTCACTCGACGAATCTGTTATAAAATTCGAGCCAGGAATCACATTTTGTAACCTCCAAACCAAAGGACCATCGAAAACGAGAAATTCGCACCATCGTATTTTGTAGAATCTAATACTTCACACAAAAGAAATCTCGAACACAATAATAATAAACAATACGCATGCATCTTAAACAAACCCTCTTCAGAATAAAATGTACACGTTTTGTAGACAACAACTGAGCGAACGAGGAAACTCAAATCTAACTCCGAGTGGCAGTAGATACCACACCGTGAAGAGTTAAACGTCTCGTATCATTGATCGTGACGACCGATTACCGGCATCACCTTCGATAACGAAATGTCATCGACATATAACTGTTTGATCGTATCGATTGTTCGTTGTTTCGGCGATTCTGGTGGGACACAGACAGTGGTGCCTAAAACGCGCGAGAAGAACGTTTCCCCAATTTCCATCTTCGACTATCCGGACACGCAGAATCGTTCTGCGGTCGGAGCGTTACCAGATTCGTTTTCCTTCTAAGAGAATCGGGTTACCTCGATGTTTTCGCAGTCAGTGCAAAGGTATAGGCGGTCGAAGCGCCCGCGTCGACGAGGGCGACGTCGTTATAACGATCGTCGTTGACGAGCCAGCATATCGAGGCCGTAAACGCGATATTTCACGGCGAAGACAACGTTTTCGCTTCGTCGACGCACACAAAAACGTTCAGAAATGCCTCGATGACGATCGATCCGTCCGGACGAGAGGATGCTGCTTCCTTCGAGACTACGGGAAACAGCACCAGACGAACGAACAATCTCAATCCAGAGAGAGTGGCCGTGCAATGTCGTCGATGACAGGAACGGATCGTACAACGAGAGACACTGGCCACTGTTCCGTTCTTCTTCTTCTTCTTCTTCTTTTTTTGTTTTTCACGATTTTCTTGGGTAACTGGTCAGCCGGTGCGCGTTGGGCGGACACCATCTATCGTTTCTACGATCGTGGAACATCGACACCGGCATTCTATGTTTTCTGCCACTGTCAGCACTGCCGTCATCATAACCATTGTCTCCGTGACACTTCTGACCCGCGGATCGGCCGTGTTTTCGTCCACGGATTACTGACCCACGGCGGTAACGAGAGAAAAATTCTTACGCGTCGCGCACCCGTATATATCACGTTCTCACGCACTGCACGAGGGTGCCGTCGCACGACGGCGTGGCTTTACACACCGAACAGTACGACACGAAAATCCGAGTCGTCGAACGGAGGTATTTGCTCGATGATCGCTGAAAGACTTCGAGGCGTCGTCCCCTGACGGCGCCACGCGTCGCGACGCTGGTGGTGCCGTGGATATTTTCTAGAATCAACCACCCAGCTCGACGCTAGCTAATCCACCACCGCTCGGGGGTAAAGAGGGTTGCTACGTTAGCGATTGCCAGGAAGAACCGCCATTTTGGAAACCAAAGAACCCGTTGGGGGTTAATCGCGATGTCCGATATTCGCGGCACGATGTTTCGCACTTATCCCGAACGTTATCGAGATATCGAAGTTCGCTCGTAGAGGGAGTCTAGAACTGCTGTTGTATACTTCGAATGTTCTATAATGTAGGAACTTTAAATGGAATCATTCTTAACACTTTTAGTCCCGAACGACGAGATATCGTTTGCGACACTTGCGGAATCTCCCAAGGATCGTCATTGCGACAGAATTCTACCTCAAAATGAATTTATTTGCTTTTGCTATAAAGAGAAAAAAGTACAAGTAAAGTTTTTACACGCACGTTTATTCACTCAAAATAATCTCCATCTGCGTCAATACACCGCGTAATTAACATTTCGAAGGACCTTTGCAGCTCCTGTTTTGGTATCCTGTTTAGTACGGCGGTTACAGCGGCCTGAATCTCCGAAATATTGCTATAATGTGTCCCTTTCGTTGCAATTGGCATTGTTACCTCGCCTGATCTGTCTCCCTGCGATTATTTTCTTTTCCGAAAATTGAAAATTCCAGTGAAACGGACACATTATAGCAACATTTCGGGGATTCAGGCCGCTGTAACCGTTGTACTAAACGGGGTACCGATACAGGAGCTGCAAAGGTCCTTCGAAATGTTAATTACGCGGTCAACACGCTGTATTGACGCACAAGGAGATTATGTTGAGTAAATAAACCTGTGTGTAGAAACTTTGTACTTTTTTCTTTTAATAGCAAAAGTTCGGTTTCTTTTTAGACAGACCGTGTAAGACGTTTATGAATGGCCCGATTTCGTTGCAATTTTGTTACAGATTTAATTATTTGTTATTTGTATGCGTGAGGACAGTGGTCATGCACTAAATTAATAATACATTGTTCCGTAATACTCTCTCGATATAACGATCATCCCTCCGTTGTTTTTCGAGCGACCCCGACGACTAGATTGACACGCGAGTAAATATTAGGTTGAACCAAAAATTCGTGCGTTTTTTACGTTGTTTCAGTTTGTGCAAGTTTTGAAGTCATTAAAATTACTTTATATGCAAGTGTTATGTACCATTTTGTAGCTTTTGAAAAGCTCTTTCGTATTTGATTATTAGCTACGTTATTTTATTGATCATTTAATTTTTTTTTCGTTTTAGTAAAATCGTGAACAATTTTGAGATTCGAGTAGCAAAGAAAATATTGTATTCAGTTGTCAATGATTCGATTCAATTTTAATAGTTATATATGAAAGAGCTTTTTGAAAGCTACAAAATGATAACACTTGCATATAAAGTAATTTTAATGACTTCAAAAAATTGCGCAAACTGAAACAACGTAAAATACGCACGAACTTTGGTTCACCCTAATAAATATTGATTAGTCGCCAGGTCATCAGAGATGATAAAGTATTCTTTTCCAAATATATTGGTGAGAATATTACCAATAGATTGGGGATGTTTTCCCAATGAAGATGAGTCCAAATATGATCTCATTCCAATGCTGAAGAGTTCCTTACGAGTTTCCCAAAGAGTCCCAGCGTTTTGAAGAAAAAATTAATTTTACCACTTAAAAGAAAAAAACGCATCGATACAATAGTACCTTTTGGCTGATGTGGAAAGTTTTAAAAATATATTCGCGAGGTATCGGTAACGATGGAACTGTCCCGACCCAGCAGTTTACCGAAAAATGGCTGAAAAGTGCAAATCTTGTTGAGCTCTGCTCTAAAGTATCCTGTATCTCCTAAACGGATTCCCGAAGTTAAAATTAATATATTGGGTTATCCAGAAAGTTCGTGCCAATTTTTAAGGAACATTCAAAGACACGTTTGAATTTCGATATATATATTTATTGAATTATATATGTACCATTTTGTTCCACAATTTTTCCACCTTTTAAGAGATGTTATTTGTTTTCAATCATTCCGATATATTCAGACCTGTACCGCCTACTAAAACTCGGCATGGACCTTCCAGACAACCCAATATTTGGTGTCCTTCCACACTCTACATAACATCCTCCAAATTTAATATCAATTGGCCACCGGTACCTTTCGGAATAATATCCAATTCGATAACAGTTCTTGCAAGAAGCATCCCACTGTATTTCGCGCCAATACCTTGGCCAATACCTTGCCATTGCATACAGAAACCGTGCTTCGAATGAGAATCATCGATCGAATATTAAAATAGATGTTCCAGAGTGCATCGACAGGTGTCAGAGACAATCCGAGATCTCCGTACCCGTGTCGAGCATGACAATTTAAAAAGAACGACACTCACCTTGCATAGGACGCGTGGCAGCGCTGCGCGACATTGTTCGCGTAGTCTATTAGGCTGTAGCTCTGAGTTAGGCGCTTTTGGACGGAGTCTGTAGATATGTTTCACGGGGAAGGTGGCGCCTCTCAAAAGTACTTTCCGGGCGCGGCGACGCTGGTTGACGGCTGGCGTCGTAGAAAATGCATCAAACGTACGGCACGATAGCCGCGGTGTAAAAACGAGGGTAAAAAATGGTCTCCTATCGCCGGTCGGCGGGTTTGTCGTTGCGATCGTAGGTACTCTCTTCCTGTCTATGGTATCTACCGATGGGAACCGGAAACGAGTGCTTCTGGACGCGGGCAAGGTCGACGTTCCGTCCTTGGTCGGCTTTCGTGTTCGAAATGGTTGATTCTTGGGGACGCGGTGATAGAAAATCGGCAATCGTTTCGATTTACGGCGAAAAAGACGAGAGAGATTGAGGCACGTGAAGGATGACGATGACGCGTAGGCGGTCGTTTCCGTCGTACGACGATCATCAAGCGACGGATGCCTCGATATTCGACGGGAACGTTGACGCGGGTACGGGTCACAGAACGACGCCCCTGAGTTCAGGTCGGATATTCCGCGGCTAAGTAGTGATGACAGGATATCCGGTGTGGGGGGTACGGGGGGTCCTTTGAGGGTGGCGTCCATGTGGGGTGGATGGTCACCTCCTTTCTTTCCTCTCTCCTGCGACCCACCTCCTCCTCCAGGACCGCCTCGTCAGGGTGCCCCAGCTTTTGGTGTCCGAGAACACCTCTCCTGCGCCTCGCCAACTCTCACCTATCCCCTCCCACGCTGAACTTGGCGAACACACGCTGCAACAAACACGTCGAATTCGCGGTTAATGCAAGCTAATTTTTATTCACTCGAAAAATCTGTCTAACTATTTCTTATTACTAGACTGCGGATCTTTATGAAAAATAAAATCTTCGCGAACGTGCTTACAAAAATTGAGCCTAGATAGAGATTTATTTTATTCTGCAAATATTGGGTCGTCCAGAAAGTTCATGCCAATTTTTAAGAAAAATTCAAAGGCACATTTGAATTTTACTATATATTTATTGAATTATGTAAGTGCCATTTTGTTCCATAACCTTTTCACCTTTTAAGGGATGTATACGTGTTATTCGTTTTCAACCATTCCGATACATTCAGACCTATACCACCTATCAAACATCGGCATGGACTTTCTGGACAAACCACTATTATAACATGAACTTTACTTTCAATCTTTTTTATATTCTTGGATATTGTTTGCATTTCGTAGGTTTTTGTACATTCAAATCTCCTATAAATGCATAAAGATCCGCAGTCTACTTATTACTATTGTGGGAGTAACGATGAAATTTAATATAAATTATATTTTAGAAACTGTAACGTTCGTTGATAACGCACGCACACTCTGCTCGACCTATTATAAATTCCAATATGTGAAGAAGAGAAGTCTTTACTTAGGTAGATACTATCGGAGTTGGGTAGCTGTTATGTTGCAATTTTTAACCGGACGATCGAAGGGTTATTATTTATCTGATGATTAATACTTGGTGTAATAAAATAGAGTCATGGTATTCGCAGAAGCCAAATACTTTAAAACTAAGCCGTTCCTGCGACAACTACGCGGTGACTCGAGTTTTCTTCGATATTAAACGTGACATTGAGAATGTTTGAATAAATCGATATAAAAATGGTGCTCCATTACCGCGCCTTGGTTGCACGCGTTTATCGCGTTGCAGTTTTTCTACAACGTTACACGTTTGTTCAAATGCAGTCATGCATACTTTTTCCGGTATACTAATTATTCAACGAGTGATTATTTTCCGATCGATGAATCGCAGGTAGTTCAATTCGCCTTTTTAAAACGAAGTCTTATTGCGTTTACATTTTTATGCAATTATAATAATCAGATTGAAACAGTCGTTCGATTTAAAAGATAATCGTATATGAACATATAAAGCTCAGTATTTAGTTACACATTGTAATAATTAATTAATTATAAGCAATTTTATTGTAAATACCTTTGAAATACTAAATATAAATACTAAATTCCATAAAAATACTCAATTTCAAAATTAAATTGAAACTCTCAAGTTAAAAATGTCGAAATTCTCAATTGTAATATTGCGTAAAATTCTTAATTGAACAATTTCATATGAAATATATCTATTCGTGTTCCGTGCATATTTTAAGATTACCAAATATTTGTCCTCTCGTAGAACACTTTTAATGAAGTTTAGAACGCACTGAATAATTGGTCGAATCGACTGCGACGAATCGTTATCGAACGAAAAACGTATAAGATTTTCAGCATCTACCTGAGTGGTTGAATGTATGGATTATGAAATCTAACATTTAGGAGAAAGCACGAAGGACAACGAAGCATAACCTATACCCGGTTAATCCATAAGAACAAACAAGCTTAGCTGGTCAATCGAAGCAAAGTCGCACTGTCCGCGATTTAATTATGTATGCAGGTATCCTTGATTCAAACAGTAAAGTTTTTAAACGTCCTGACGTGTTCGTACCCGTTGTATGTAAACTTGTTTCCGGCTTGCAGTTGTGTTATAGAATTGTGGCGACGTGTATCTATAAAACGTGGGTTTATCTTCCATTCGCAAACAAAAAAAAACAACTGTATACGCTTCTTCGAGAAACGATACATTTAATTAAACAAAAACTACGATGTTGCATTCTTTTAGTATTACGATCAGCTTTCTCTACTTTAATATTTATTAATATAATTGCAACATAAGTATCGATATCACTTAAATATTAATAATCACATTAAAACAGTGTTTCGATTTAAAGATAATCTTATACGAACATATAAAGCTCAATATTTAGTTATTCATTGTACACACAAAATATACTTTAGCATATTTTAATATAAGTATAAATATCAATATCAGGGTGGTCGCAAAGAAATGATTCAGTCAATGAAGTCAATTTAATTTCCAAAAGCACAGATATTTGCCACGAGCATTAAGAAAATATTTATATTTTCTTTATACGTTCTTATATCCATAATATTTCTTTGGGAGGAATTTTTTGGGAGGAAAAATTTAACTATAAAATACAACAGTGTATTTCGTTTTCTCGAATAATAATATTGATAAATCATTTTTGTATCTGTCAGATTCAATCACGTTAATTATCGTTGGAAGCGCATAATCGTTTGCTGCGTTAAACAATTATGCAAATGGATGACGGGTTAGTTGGTAATTGGAGCGAATACGCGACGAGAATATTCATTTATTGCAATGTGTACATTGGAATTCTCATTTACAAACTTTCAGCCGGCTACGTTACGATTCTCTCCGTTTAACAGGAGAAACTTAATATTTGTGGACAAACACGAGGTCAACCTTATCACTCCTTTCTCACAGGGATTATAAACATAATTTAAAGAGGATTAAGTTTGATAATCCTCAAAAGGACCGTGATATAGTCGGTTGAAACGTTGTACGTAGGAAATCCAATGTATATATTAACACCAAATGGATATTCTCATGGCACATGCATATACTTCCAACCAGCTTCGCATAACGTTTCCTCTAATTATTATTAGGGAAACACTTGATGTTATCACCAAATTGAAATATAATGAAATGTGGGATCAAATGAACATTCAATCAATACTTTCAATCTTTATTTTATTTATTTATGAAAGCTTGAAAGAACGATCTTTATTTAACTATAAACGAGAAATATAGACAAGAAAATACTGGTGAAAATTAACAAGAAGAAAATAACCGAAAGGAGTCTACAATACATTTATGATTGTGATTTTTGTCACAATCCAAATAATATAAAATAAAAATATGTAAATATTTTGTGATGATTTATTCATTAGGTTCCACTATATATATATGAAAAAATATAGTTTTAGAATTTGTTTAAAAACATACAAAAATATAGAATTATAAATTGCACAAAAAGTTGTAAAATTGTATTTATTATAGTTACAAAAATGATATACCCTATTTTTATAAAAACTGCATTTTTTCCAATAACATAAATACAAGAGAATATTGAAGAGAATATTAGATATTTTACATTAAAATCTCGGAACACCAAAATTTCGCTAAGCGACCCCATTCGGGGTTGCAACCCATAGTTTAAGAAGTCCTGGTTTAAATATACAGTGTAACATACATTTCCATTAACTAAATATTATTTCACCAAAATATCTCACTAAAACAATTAAAAGGAAACGTTTGTGCAATACATCTGCTTAGAATAAAAGATGCGCAAGGTCGATAGAAAATATTCGAATGTTGGCTTCAATCAAACTTTGAAATCAAGCAGAGTAAATATAAAGCCATCCGCGCCATGCGAAAATATATAAACGGCGAAACTACCCCAAGGAATTAGCATTCTAATCTCGAGCTTTATCAAGCTTCTATTAAATTTCTTTTATTTTCTTTTCGAGTCTCTGACGTACGCTCGCTACTGAAAAGCCTGATAAAAATCCGTTTCGCAAGTTTGTTTTAGAAATTACCCGAGCCGACGGGACGGGTTGGACAGCTTGAATACTGGTTTCAGACGGGTTCGACGTTACAACAGCTTTACATTGTCACGGCGACTGAGGACAGAACGTCGCTGGATCGCACCTGTCGCGATTAACAAAAGAGGAATCGTGCCGCTAACGACGCTGACCGCCGACCTACATGGAGAGTTCGCCATTGACGCGTATTTTTCATTCTCGCTGTATATTCGTGACCCCAATAAACGGTACACAGCTGGAACACACGACCCTACAGGGTCGCAACCCTACCGACGTTTCCGTAAGCGGCGTTAATCGATCGTTAACTGCAGCTCTTATCGGACCACTTTCGGAATTCTAAGGAAATATCAGCACGAACATTGCTGGAAAATGTTCCCTTGTAAATGTAACCCTTTGCACTCGAGAGGTGACCATCAGTCAACACAAGGTTTCACCCAGCAAATCTACTAGCAATAATGTTTCTTTAAGTTCGGTTTCTTTGGAACTCGAGGTGTCAATAAAATGACAACGGTTCGAAGTCAATCCAAGCTTAATCATTCGTGACAATAGAGTGCTAAGAAAGCATCTTGAGTTGTTGGTAGATACCAGAAGAAAAGGCTCCGAGTCGAAAGGATTAATGAACTTTCTTTGTATTTTTAGAAGGTGAACATCCACCCTTAAGGGTCAACGTCACTCTAGGAAAAAGAGTTTAACTTTGACAATTTTTTAACATGTTCATCGCTACGTCACTTCTGAAAATCATGCGTTAAATAAAAACAAGTCTGGATAGGATTCGTGAATTTTGATCGGGTTGTTAACCTGAATACTAACTCGAAAGGTTAAATTACACAGTTTCCAATTGTATAAGAATAAAATTTTAGTTGCATAAGTATTTCCATGAGCATGACTGGTACTGAAAGTGTTAAGGACGCGTTGTATTAGTTCAGCCAAGGAGTTTGTTCGTTTTTTAACGAGAAATGAAAAGCAATCTTTCCTAGACGAGGATTCTCATCAATGATTTTTCTCCATCCGTTGAACAAATTCTAAGCGAAGTTTAACAACCCTTTCAGAATCGAAGTCCTTTTCCTTAGCAAATTTTGTACACATCGGAAAAATGTTAAAAATTCCTAGTTCAGAAGTAATGTAAGTATTAGGTTGTCCCAAAAGTTTCTTTCGTGGCTTGCACACACTTATTTTGTGTAGCAGTGTTTATATAAATAGACATCCTAATTTCTTAGATGTTAATGTTGTAACAGTAATGGAGCAAAATGAATCGTACGCAATTCAATAATGTAACATTAGACATAAAATATTATGTATGTATTACCTATT